GAAAGAAAGAAAGAAAGAAAGAAAGAAAGAAAGAAAGAAAGAAAGAATGTTTTGCATTTCAAGATTTTCCTGGAGATATTTTGCCTTGGCTTTAATCAAAGAATGAGCCTGGATGATTGATGAGCAATGGGGGAGGTAGTGTGGAAGGAGCGGATGCCTTCCTGGTGTGGAACCTTTCCGCTCCATAATTGTACCCCACTTCCGTAGTCTTTATTTGAAAGCTGCTTTCCTTGAGATAATATAGGAAACCTATTCTTCAGTAACAATCCCTGCCCTAGCCTTGCTCCCGTGTTTCCTGTAAGCATTTTAAAGACACAAAGGACTTTAAGCTCTAGAACAGGGGTCTCCAACCTTGGCAACTTTAAGACTGGTGGACTTCAATTCCCAGCAAAGCTGGATGAGGAATTCTGGGAATTGAAGTCCACTAGTCTTAAAATTACCCCTGCTCTAGAACAGGGGTCTCCAAGAATTCCCAGGATTCTGGGAGTTGAAGTCCGCCCGGCTTAAACTGGCCAAGGTTGGAGACCCCTGCTCTAGAAAGTTTTTCTGCCCTCAAGTCCTATGGAAACAAATTGGAGCTACAAACCCACTCAGTCCTTGCCACTAAGAGTGCAATTTGGCAGTTTTGGAGTCAGGAGTCCATAGTGTTAAAAAAGGGGGTCTAATCAATGCCCCTTTCACCTTGAAGTAACACACTTCGCTTTTTTTCAGAATATATAACAAGATTTCTACCACATTTATCCTCCTGCTCAGTCTGCTAAGTGGCACTCCTGGACATTTTCTCCCAATCCTTAGATTCTGAAGGAAACTTAGTTTTTATAGGGATTTCACAGGGAAAAACAATGCAATGGAAGATCCAAAGATATCTGCCATACAGATTATAGAACAGTCCTTCCTGAGCTTCTCCACCTAATTTTGTCTCTGGACTCGTCCCCAAATCTAAATCTTCTCCTTATTATGATTTAAAATAAAATATCAATTTTTAAAAACCCAAAAAGAAGGAAAAAGAAATATTTTAGAGTAATTCTATGTACACAGGGTATACCAAAAGTCAGGGCCCCCTGACAATTTATTGTATAAATTATATGTTCAGTTTGGTGGCCATTTTTTCCCCTAAGTGCTTCCTTACTTGTCTGACACATGACCTTTGAACATTCATCAGTACCGTAACCTTTTCTCTGAGAAAAATAATACCGATTAATAAAATTCATGAAACTTATTGTGATTGGCTTATGAAATCTGATACTCTGATGCTCCTGAACATGCTTTCATTCAGAGCTTTCTAGTGATAGACCTGGGCCAACTGAGGTGCTGCACTGACTTATTTTGAATCAAGTGATGGAGAGGACGTGTTAAAGTGTTAAAGGAGGACCCAGGAGATAAGAAAAGTTCAAAAGTTGAAATTCTGGTGACTGCCTAGACAATTACATATGTAAGTAGTCCTCAATATATGACCACAATTGAGCCCAACATTTATGTTGTTAAGTGAATTTTGCCCCATTTTATGATCTTTCTTGCCACAGTTGCTAAGTGAATCACCACCGTTGATAAGTTAATAACCTGATTATTCAGTGAATCTGATTTCTCCATTGGCTTTGTTTGACAGAAGATTGCAAAAGATTATCACATGGCCTTGAAACATTGCAACCACCATAAATGTGAGTCAGTTGTCAATCATCTGAATGTAAATCACATGACCATGGGGATGCTACAAAGGTTGTAACTGTGAAAAACGGTTATAAGTCACATTTTTCATTCCCGTTGTAACTTTGAATGGTCACTAAATGAACTGTTGTAAGTCAAGGATTACCTGTAGTGTTTTCCCTACCAGTGTGGAAATGGTTAATTTGCTATTCTGTGGAGTGAACCAACAAAGTAGTAACAGGACTAGTCCTATTTTATAGGACAAATAATAATTTTACACAAATAAGGTCAACCAAGTGTTCTGTAGTTTGAAACTCTACCCAGCCCTGAAGCTCTGTGGGCTCACTTTGGATCATTCACTATCTCTTAAACTAACTTACCTTGTGGTTGTGTGTTATTGTGATGACAGAATTGCTATGATGCTTTCTTGAACCTCTAGAGGGAAAGTAGAATTTAAATGGAACAAATATAATATTTACAGAAGAAGATAATAAATCTCCTTTCTTTCCCCTTTTAATTATTCATTAACACCTTCCTTTTAAAATGAAAACTCAAATGTTCTCAAATGTAAAAAAAAAAACCTTCCTGGTTATTCAAAATAAGATTAAGGAAATCTGATATCAATATATTTCTAAAATTAAAGTTCTTATCAGAACTTTTCTGCAAGCAAAACATATTTTGAAATATATATATATTAAAAGTCTGACTCACAGACGAACACAATACAGAAGCCTGATGATGGCAGATGAGATTCTGCCAAAACGTTGCTACAACTTTAAAAGCACAACTATAATGACGTGGGAAAATACCCGAACAAAGCTGAATACCATACATGTACGTACCCGCGAAAACTTTACATACATACATACATACATACATACATACATTCTTAAGTTTTCACGGGTATTTGTATGTGGATCTTTGGTTATTCGGGTTTTCTCCCGCGTAAAATTGGAAGTATCTAGGCGACGTTTCGATGAAGTCTCATTCATCATCTTCAGGCTTGTGTCTTTGGCTTTGTGCTTCTTGGAGTAATGTTACATATATAATATATATATATATTAACTTGGGCATCTGGATGCTCACAGGTAAGTTATTCAAGTCTAGAAAAGGAAAGTATTAGCTGGTATTGGCAATATGATAAATTCTTTAATTTTTAATACATCCTTTTTTTTAAAAAAATTGCTGTTTAAACTACCATTTGAAAAGAGACTTACAGTTCAGCAAATCTGATCCTGGATGGTGCATGTGTTATGTTTCATTCACAAGGAAACAGCTTTGCCCAAGGGGTGCAGAAGTGTGTTGGAAACAAGAAGTGTTGTTGTGCTGCAGCTCCTTGAGACTGCAGCTACTCAAGAGAATTCTAACATTAATGTGAACCTTTTTAAACGACATAGAACAATTTGTTCATCAGCTGTCACCGTGGGCTGCCAAAGGCAGAGATAGGATCACCAGTTTTTCAAGAGAATTTAAAGTCCCTGTTCCACCCCCAGAATTTCCTCTCTGGACAATAATTAAGTAAATAAACACACTTCCTTTGGAATTAGATGTCTGTATTCAAAGAATTTGAATTAGAAATAGGGAAGATCTGAGAGGCAAGCACAGATCTCTTATTGTGACCCCCTTCAAGATATACTAGATTAGGAAACCAATGCCATTATTGTAAAGCTATATTAATACATTTTGCAATATATTAATACCTTCCCCTCCTCCCTCCTTTTATCTTCATGTGAACTAGGGAGGCATTTGTCTGAGATGTTTACTGCTTTCTTGATTTGGGCTCAGGTAGCAACCTTTCCTCCTGTCCTTCAAGGCCATTCCCTCTGCTATCTACACTGATGTATCCATCCAAATCATTTCGGCTGGAGGAGAAAATGTCTGCTTCACTAACCTGCTTCTTCTGAAAATCAATTGGGGCTGATGGTCTCCTTAGTTGGAGAAGAAGGCAGAGAGCTCAATTAATGTCAGGGGTTAATTACAGGTAGCCCTCAGCTTATGACTGTATTAGAGCCTGGAATTTCCATCATATGTTATGATAGTTGTAAGCCAAGGCACCTAGGGCAGAGGTCTCCAACCTTGGCAACTTTAAGACTTGTGGACTTCAACTCCCAGAATTCTCCAGCCAGCAGAGCTGGCTGGAG